AAAAAAAAAAAAAAAAAAAAAAAAAAAACGTTTTCAACAACTTCCGAAAAAACACTATGTTATGGAGACAAATAAACTAAACAACATTTGCTTCTGCACTACATCCAAATTCTTTACCAAATTTGAACTAAAAATCTAATACGGAAAATAAACACTATGATAAAAATAAGAAAAAATAACAAAAGAATTAAAATAAGTGAGCCTACCAACACCTTTTCGACACCGCTATCTTTGCGAATTTTTAATTATTTTCAGGCATAGACAAATGTCCTGAAAATTTACAGATCTATAGTTTACATAATCAATAACTCATTAAAAAGTTTTCAAAAAATAATAAAATTATTTAGGCCTCAAAATAAAGTGAAAACAAAAAGTTAAAAGTGAAAAAAAAACAAAATAGTGAGTGGGCGAGCACGTTTTGACAACCCCATCTTTGACGATTTTTAATGTTTTTTTGGCTTAGCAGAATGACTTCAAATTTATAGGCGTGTAGGTTACATCATAGAGAACTCAAAAAAAAAAATTCTAAAAAAAAAACTTATTTTTAGGCCCTAAAATATTTTTTGGCAGGGGCTGAACCTGGAGATGTTCGGCCCCCGAACAGGACCTCGAACGCGCGAACGTTCGGGGGCCAGCCCGGGCGCCCCCGAACTTTCGGTCAGGTAACCCTGATAACAATATTAAAAATAAAATTAAAACCTTGATTTTTATAATTAATAAATAAAATATTATAAAAAAATATGTAACATAATCATTATGATATTATATACAGGGTTACTGGCGTTCGGGACGGGCTAAACGCCCGAACTTACGGGACACCTTCGGAAGGCGCTCGGCCGTTCGGGCCGAACGCAGACCAAAAAAAAAAAAAAAAAAAAAAAAAAAAAAAAAAATCAAGACATTCCCAAAAAAACATATGTTATGGAGAAAACTAAACTAAACAACATTTGTCAGGGCACTACATCCAAATTCTTTACAAAATTTGAATTACAAATCAAATACAAAAAATAAACACTATGATAAAAATAAGAAAAAATAAAAAGAGAATTAAAATGAGTGAGTGTGCCA